ATTTCTCCCAAATTCTCAAAGTGCTGGCTGAGGATGAGCTGGGACACCCAGAGATGGGAGATACCGCCTCAAGAAGGTCCTGGAGTACAGTGACCTTGAAGGCAAGTACAACCCAGGTTTGAGGATGCTGGCTGTGTTCCAGGAGCTGGCGGAGCCCAGGAAGCAGGATGCTGAGGGTCTGCAGTGGGCCCTGACCATGGACTGGTGTGTTGAGATGCTATAAGGTTTCCTCCTGGTACTGGAGGACATAGTAGACCCATCCCTCACCTGCCAGGGGCAGCCTTGCTGGTTTGAGAAGCCAGGAAGAGGTTTGGATGCCATCGAGGATGCCATGCTGCTGGAATCCTGTATCTACTGCCTGCTGAAGCTCCACTGCCGGGAGCCCTGTTACCTGGACCTGCTTGAGCTGTCCCTGAGGGTTCCTATCAGGCTGAGACGGGACAGGCCCTGGACCTCATCACTGCCCCCCAGGGCAACGTGGATCTTGGCACATTCACTGAAGAGATGTACACATTCATGGTCAAGGACAAGACTGTTTTCTACTCCTTTTGCCTCCCTGTAGTTGCTGCCATGTCCTTGGTGGGCACTGATGGGGAGACGGAACATGCCAATCCCAAGAGGATCCTGCTGGAGACAGGCGAGCTCTTTCATATGCAGGGGATAACCTGGGACCTCTTAGTAACCCCAGTGAGACGGGCAAGATTGGCACTGACATCTAGGGCAACTAATGCATCTGGCTGTGGTTCAGTGCCTGCCACGGGCCAACAGGCCGGGTCCTGAAGGAGAATCATGGGCAGAAGGAGGCAGAGAAGGTGGCACAGGTGAAGACAATGTACGAAGAGATGAAGCTGCCGGCTGTGTTCAAGCATTACCAGGAAGCCAGTTCCAGCAGCAGCCTTAGAAGTGTCCTGGGGCCAGCAATATGCTGCCTGCTGCCCCACTGCAGTCCTCCATCTTCCTGGGGCAGGCACACAAGATCTACAAGTGGAAAAAGTGACCTGGAATCTGGGAGGGCGGGAGGGGAGGTCTCAATAAATTATTGTTTAACACAGAGAGAGAGAGAGAGCCTGCCGCAGAGCAGAGATGCTGCCACGCTCAGGCTCTTTGGAGAGTGAGTTGAATCTAAGTTGCTATTACTCCCTAACAAATTAGGAATATTCTATGTCCACAGCTTCCCCTTCACAGGCTGGCTTTACCCTCATCTCCCTTATTTTTATTTTACTCATTTTAATCCCACAAATAATACATGAAAAATAGTAAGTCAACATTTCCTGAGAAGTTACCAAGGTTCCAAGAGTGTTACAAGTCTTTCCATCTCTGAACCACTCTAGGACTCAGACTGCTATCACTACTCCCGTTTCACAGATGAGGAAGTCGAGGCAGAGTGGTAACTTGCCTATGGTCACACAGAGGCCAAAAGAAGTTAAAGAAAGGATCTTCTTGAGGCGGTATCTCCCATCTCTGGGTGTCCCAGCTCATCCTCAGCCAGCACTTTGAGAATTTGGGAGAAATGCTGAAGGATCAGGGTCAGTCTCCCACTTACATAGGCTGTTCCAAGAGCCTGCCTTTCATCTGTATCCATCTTTAGTACTTGTTTGCTAAAAGAGGCCTCAAAAAAGAGGTCCTGTCTCAGAGGCAGTAAGAGGCCACTGTGCTGTTTCCTTGAGATATTTTAGCAACAGACTTACATCCATATGGAATCAACACGAGAGCCTTTCAACAGATGACTAAACAAAAGTATGTACGTGTAATGAATGATATACCCATCAAGAGAAGTGAGATTCTGATAGGACATGGATGTACCTTGAAAATATTGCAAGGCAAACACCACCCACTGAGCCCGTTGTGATGCATAAGGAAACTGTAGGACAGAGTAGACTGTTCTGTAGGGGGAGCATCAGACACACAAGGGCAAATATTTATGATTCCATTTATATTTGTAATACACGAGGCCAAAGTTTATTAGTCTTAATGGGGAGGCAGGAGTGGGAGTCACTGCTCACAGGTTAATGGGTTTATGCCAAGTATCCTAACATGCAGAAACTAATGTCACCGAATTGTACGTTTTACAATGGCAAGCTTTTGTTTCATATATTTTGATTATATGGATTTCTCCACAATAAAATTTATAATACATTGACATCTAGAAACACAGAAACCGATTGCTAAAAAATAAAATAAAAATCGTTGTAGTCCTATTGCTTGGCTTTCTCCGCTGAACCAGGAGACGTCGGCGGCCATCCTTCTCAGGGCCATTTTGACCCTTGCATGATAAGCAGCCAAGGTGGTACCTTTATTAACCCACCTTCCCAGGGCTTAGCCCTTGACTTTCCCCCCTTCACCCAGTTCCCCACCCATTTCCCCAGTGTGCCCCCCCTCCATCTTTCTATTACCCCGCTCCCCCTCCCCAGCATTTCGGGCCCCCTTCCAGACCGCCCCAGTTCTTCACTACCACCCCTCACTCATGGCCCCCCTCCGCCCCACCTCGCACGCTCTCCAGGCTGGCTGCAGACGCTTGCTTATTCAACGCTAACCCCCATCCTCAGACCCTCCGCCTCCCTCCGCCACTTTCCCCTCCACCCTACATCCCACCCCTCTGCCTCCCGAGGTCCGCCAGAGCGCGCAGCCGGCGGGCTGCGAAGCGAGATGACAGTTTAATGAATGGCTTCAGCTGTAATTAGCGACCCCGCAGCTAATCACCATGTGCATTTACATTTTAAGTGCTGCAGAGGGAGCCGGGAAGGGAGGGGACCGGCGGGAAGGGCTGCCTGTGCTTTCGGAGCACTTCTGGGGGCGCGGGGGAGGAGGTGGCGGGAAGGCCGCGCCAGGAAGAACTAGTCTCCGCAGACTCCGAGAAGCTCCATCTCACCCAGCGCCAACCGTAGCAGTTCGACTCCCCCAGCCTCTCTGGGGGAGAAAGACGAGGCCTTCCGCTCCGGTGCAGAACCGCAGGCTGTGTCCTGTACGTGGGCGCTCTGAGTCGGAATCAGTTCGATGGCAGTGCGTTTGGTTCGCGGGGGATTAGCCTTCATCTCCCAGGGAGTGTTCGTCTCCGGCCTGCATCACCCGCCCCCGCGCACCCCCCAGGCTCACTAGTCCTCTTGGTCCCCAACCAGGCTGCTCCGTGAGTTCCCGTGCCCCACCTCGCGCTGCAGGGTGCCCGGCCTGGGGCTCGTGTGGCGGCTCCCGGGGGGGCTGGGACAAGGCCATCTCGGGGGTCCGGGAGGCAGGTGGCGCCGAGGCCCCAGGTGGCGCGGAGCAGCTACTCTGGCTGGGGTGCGTGCGTGCGTGCGCACGGGTCCTGCACAGCTCCAGCCACCTGGGGTGGCTGATGGGGTGGTGATGGGGTCAGCCTCGGGTCCTGAACAGCAGGACCGAGAACTCGACGTTACTGGAGGTTGAAAAAGAAGAGTGTCCAGCGGTCTCTTCCGAGGACTGGGCCCTACTTCAACAGACACCATCACGGCTGCCCCGGCTCTTGGCTCCCTCAATCCGAAGGGCGCGCTCAGCTGTCACCGGGACCCACCCAGACCAGGCCGGCGCCGCTCCCTTAGCCTAGCGTGGGAAGGAGGTGGGAAGGATCAAGTCGAACTCGGGCAATTCGGGGCCC